TTGAAATTTGGCCAGTTCAGCAGGGACCGGCTGAGATTTGTTTCATTTATGGGCAGGCTGGTTGTACTGATCCATCAATTGACTTCAGTACAATAAGCCTGAATGTGTTGATGAGGGAGTTGAGCAATATTCTTTCCTGCAACCAATAAAATTGCTTAATGTATGGTCTTCTTTCATGGGGTATATTATAGGCAAAAGTGATATAGAGTGCAGCAACTTGTGATAGCCAGTTACAAATCAGCTTCGAAGGACCAGTGTGATCAGCTTCTATACAAGGACAAATTCTATGCAGAAGAGATGCAGAGTGCAGCAACTTTTTGCTGTCAATCCCATGTCCTGTTTGAAGGACCTTGCTGATGATCTCCTTGACTGATATTGTTAAATAGTTGGGCACTGTTGATGTTTGTTTACAGCCTAAGCCAGTGATGGTGAACCTTTTAGAGACCGAGAGCCGAAACTGCAACCCAAAACCCACATATTTATCACAAAGTGCCAACACCGCAATTAAATCTGAATTTTCTCACCACCAGTGCAAGGGGGCAATGTTCCACTAACCACAAGTACAAGGGGGCAATGTTCCACTAACCACAAGTACAAGGGGCAATGTTCCACTAACCACAAGTACAAGGGGCAATGTTCCACTAACCACAAGTACAAGGGGGAAATGTTCCACTAACCACAAGTACAAGGGGGCAATGTTCCACTAACCACAAGTACAAGGGGGGCAATGTTCCACTAACCACAAGCACAAGGGGGCAATGTTCCACTAACCACAAGTACAAGGGGGCAATGTTCCACTAACCACAAGTACAAAGGGGCAATGTTTCACTAACCACAAGTACAAGGGGGCAATGTTTCACTAACCACAAGCACAAGGGGGGAATGTTCCACTAACCACAAGCACAAGGGGGGAATGTTCCACTAACCACAAGTACAAGGGGGCAATGTTCCACTAACCACAAGTACAAGGGGGCAATGTTCCACTAACCACAAGCACAAGGGGGGATGTTCCACTAACCACAAGTACAAGGGGGCAATGTTCCACTAACCACAAGTACAAGGGGGCAATGTTCCACTAACCACAAGTACAAGGGGGCAATGTTCCACTAACCACAAGCACAAGGGGGGGATGTTCCACTAACCACAAGTACAAGGGGGCAATGTTCCACTAACCACAAGCGCAAGGGGGCAATGTTCCACTGACCACAAGCGCAAGGGGGCAATGTTCCACTGACCACAAGCGCAAGGGGGCAATGTTCCACTGACCACAAGCGCAAGGGGGCAATGTTCCATTAACCACAAGCACAAGGGGGGGATGTTCCACTAACCACAAGCACAAGGGGGCAATGTTCCACTAACCACAAGCGCAAGGGGGCAATGTTCCACTGACCACAAGCGCAAGGGGGCAATGTTCCACTGACCACAAGCGCAAGGGGGCAATGTTCCACTGACCACAAGCGCAAGGGGGCAATGTTCCACTGACCACAAGCGCAAGGGGGCAATGTTCCACTGACCACAAGCGCAAGGGGGCAATGTTCCACTGACCACAAGCGCAAGGGGGCAATGTTCCACTGACCACAAGCGCAAGGGGGCAATGTTCCACTGACCACAAGCGCAAGGGGGCAATGTTCCACTGACCACAAGCGCAAGGGGGCAATGTTCCACTGACCACAAGCGCAAGGGGGCAATGTTCCACTGACCACAAGCGCAAGGGGGCAATGTTCCACTGACCACAAGCGCAAGGGGGCAATGTTCCACTGACCACAAGCGCAAGGGGGCAATGTTCCACTGACCACAAGCGCAAGGGGGCAATGTTCCACTGACCACAAGCGCAAGGGGGCAATGTTCCACTGACCACAAGCGCAAGGGGGCAATGTTCCACTGACATCAAGCGCAAGGAGGCAATGTTCCACTTACCACAAGCACAAGGGGGGCAAAGTTCCACTGACCACCAGCACAAGCTGAAATCTTGTGTTAATAAAAACAAATGTATTAAAACTCACAGCCAGCCCAATATATATATCCTTGGCAGCGCACTAACCGGTCATGTCAAAGCTCGGACCAGTCGCGGCTCGTGACATCATAGCCCGCCGCTGCTACTCCTTTCTGAGCATACGAATGGCCCCTATGTGTGCTGTTATCCAATGCTCGGCTTCTGGGGCAACTTGGCTCACGTGCCAACAGAGAGGGCTCAAATAAATCTTATGTTTATTTGTATAGCCAACTTGCTCAGTTTGATTCATGCAAGCACTAGAATATGTTGGATGGCCTTTGCTTTGTAACTCTTGTTATTATCACAGTTTACTAACATGGAGAGCTTAAAGCAACATGTGAGCAATGAATTGGCAATATGTGACCACTACTCATGAGGCATGCCTCAGTTTAGGGAAATGTTCTAGACTTAGAGCTATACGCACAGCTGAATGCAAGTAAACAAACCGTTCAGTATATCATTACTGTGTTACCTTGAAAGCACATTAAAGGTTTACAGCATGCATTGAATATAGGTCATAGGTAATCACATTTATATTGTTTCCAGAGTAGAGGTGTCTTTCTCCCCAACACCTTAGTACTGCACGTACAGAATCATTTGTTATAAAGTAAATATATTAATTTATTCATGCTTCTCTTTATACCTCTGCATGGAAGTAATGCTTGTTACATTTTATAACCGGAATGAAATCGTAGATAAGAGCTGAAGTAATAAATCATATTATGTTTGTTATGCTTTCCGTGACATCATTTGGCCTTTGCCTTTGCATGATAAGGCAGAGTACATAATATTTCTGTTCCCTAAGACACAGGCACTATGGCTTTGTCATTTCCCCTGGGTTACACCAAGGCAATGCCTTCTCTAAAGGATAAACTGTTTGGGATTGATTTCAGGCCTTGTGATTTGCACACACAGCTCTAAATGCTGTCCAGCTCATTTAATAAGAAAGTGCAAAGGGCAATGGCATGCAAAGTGCAATCATCTCATTAAAGCTGAATGCATTTGGATCATAGAAATTTTTTTCTGCCACCTGGCTACTGATTACGAAGTTCTTGCTGGATGTCATATTCAAGTGTATCTGAAGACCAAACATTTGTAGAATAGCAAATATTAACACGCTATATAATGAAAGGTGAACTAACACCCTAGTCTGGGGATTTGAAAGGCACAGTCTTTTTCCAGGATGGATCAGAGTGATTCTGATAGGCCATATGCTGGCACATGACCACTTTGACCATTTGGCATAATTCTGATCATCCCGTCGTCTGTAAGAAAAAAAGGGGAAGAGTATCATGGTTTTCCAACCCTCTGACTGCTGCACCAGCTGCAGGGTTGGTGACAGTTAGCCAAACACAGAGGTAGGTGCATTAGGGACCGGGGATGGGGAGGGTGTATGGTGTTCACTTTTTCATATTTTGTGTAAAGGTAAACTTACAGAAACACAACAGGACGCAAAATGACTTCTCTCTAATCGGAATTCCCCAGTTAGACAGTTCTCATCAGAGTATGTTGTCCACATTGGAAGCTTTCTCCTCCCCCTTCCGTTGGTGACAACTCAGTCTTGGATTTCTCATTATTTACTGTACCAGAGACAATGGTACAATGAGGATGAATCTTCATGGTGGGGCAGCAGGCAGCAATAAAGAGCTTAAAGTGGAACTCCACTCAAAAGGGGAAGTTCCGTATTGAGCCTTTGTTCCCCGATCCCCATTAAGGATTGGCACCTTTGACCTGGGCAATCGGACGTTGATACCCCTCCCTGTAGTTTTCTGGGACACGTGACAGGTCCCAGAAGACTACAGGGTCATTCACAAAGCGCAGCGCTTCTCGCACATGCGCAGTGGGCACCCGGGTTATGAAGCCGCAAGCTGTCACAGCCGGGTGCCCACACTGAAGATGTCGGGGAGAGAAGACAGCCAGTGAAACCATCCATGGTGAAGACACTGCTGGACTGAGGGACAGGTAAGTGTCTGTATTTTAAAAGTCAGCAGCAGACTTTTTTTTTTTTTTTCGTCAGCTGGAACTCCGCTTTAAGGTAAAAACTAAAACATTCACTTTAAATTGCAAATTATTAATATGTAGTATTTACTTAAAATAGATTAAAGGAGAAGTATAGCCGAAGCTTTTCTTTTTTTGCTATGCTTCTCATATGGGTCAAAGGAGTTCAGTTCCTTCTGACCCGTTTTTAGTCAACAGCTGACATCACAGAGCCAGTCCAGGCTCTGAAAAGATCCTGACCATATGGTTGGGATCCACCCAGAAGCCTGGACTGGCACTCAGCTCATCCTCTCAGCAATCTTCTGAGAGCTTGAGCCAGTGCTCCAGTGAGTACTGGAGGGGCAGAGCAGAGAGCCGGAGACTGACAGTCATGGCTCTTTGCTTAGAGCGGAGGGGAGTCCATACCTCTCTATAAATTGAAAGCCTATAAACAATATTTCTGGGGAGACTTTCGATAGCTAATAATGTAAGTAGCGATCCTCTAAAACCTCCCTTAGCAGATAGATTCCTGTTATGGTCCACTGATTGTTTCACTGGAACATTGAGATACTGTAAGTAGCGATGTCATCTTGCATTCAGGAACGCTCCTACTTCTGAGGATCTTGCCTGATTTGTTTTTCTGTCTGTGCATGGCATATATGACTTCCTGTAAATGAGGTTTTTAAAGGTGTGTTCATACACAACAGAGTTGAGCATGTAATGCTTTAGTAAAACCATGAATTAAGTGATCATATTCCAATAAGCAAAAATATTTTTTTTTTTCTAATCTATCAGTGTGTGGTGCCCACAGCAGCCAGCTTTTCTTTCATTTCCAGACCTGTACTGGATGAATGAAATGGAGAATCTGATTGGCTTACGATTGATAAGTTCTTCCATAAATTGATAAATGAGGCCCATCATCCCTGTGCAGTGGTTTATTAATAACCACAACATAGTAAACATTTGTGGTAGACACATATTTCATTAAGGTGCTAGATTGTAATACTGAACCATTTTCTTGTGTGCTTAGTTTCAGTGAGCATTTGTGATTTATACCCCGGCTGTGAGAATGTAAGTGTGAGAAGTCGGAGCATGATGTTTGAGCCAGGTCTGACAAAAGGGGTCCTGGAGGTGTTTGTCTCCCCATCCAGTCATCCTCACTGTTCTATCGATGAACAGTCCACCAAGGCTATTGACATCCAGAATGCCAATCTCAATGGTATGTACAAGGTTCCTTTTTTTATTTACAGTAGATTTTCTTGCTGATGGCAGTTGATATGAAGGTTGTATAGCAGTTATATGTTCCATACAGGATATTTGAAAGCAGGGGTGGCCAACCTTTTGACTTTCCTGGGCCACATTAGAAGAAGAGGAATTGTCTTGGGCTACACATAAAATACACTAACAATAAGGATACTGATGAGCAGGAAAAGTCAGGGAACAATCAATGATATAAATAATGTACCTATCTGAGTAATAAAACTTCTTTTTTTGTAATATTTTTTTAATGTAAAAGTAAAAGAGGACAACATAATACTAGTGCAATACTTGACACTGTTTTGATAAGCTAACACATCAATATCTGGTTCGATGGACGCAGCAGCAATTCTCAAGGTGCTCATCGGATATTTTGGTGCTAATTTTGCCTTTCATGCGCTTCATCCTTGAAAATAGTTGCTCACAAATATAGGTGCTGCCGAAAACTGATGACATGAATAAAGTGTGATTTTGAAGAGTGGGAGATTTTCTTTTGGGAAGATAAAACTTACGAAAGTCCAGTAAAGGGATACTCAAATTTTTTCTTCAGCCGTATGTGTTCGCTAAGTGTAAATACATTTTTACAAAAAAATTCCCCCCCCAAAAAAATCTACATTTTTAAAAGGTGTATGATTTTGTGTTGGTCCGCATTCATAGCCATCTTGGGCTGCAGGTTGGAAACCCATTTTAAAAGCCAAGCAGTTACAGTGGGGATCGAAAGTTTGGGCACCCCAGCTAAAAATTTGTATTAATGTGCATAAAGAAGCCAAGGAAAGATGGAAAAATCTCCAAAAGGCATCAAATTACAGATAAGACATTCTTATAATATGTCAGCAAAAGTTAGATTTTATTTCCATCATTTACACTTTCAAAATAACAGAAAACAAAAAAATTGGGTCTGTAAAAGTTTAGGCACCCTGCAGAATTTATAGCATGCACTGCCCCCTTTGCCAAGCTGAGACCTGCCAGTGTCATGGATTGTTCTCAATCATCGTCTGGGAAGACCAGGTGATGTCAATCTCAAAGGTTTTAAATGCCCAGACTCATCTGACCTTGCCCCAACAATCAGCACCATGGGTTCTTCTAAGCAGTTGTCTAGAAAACTGAAACTGTGTCAGGGCTCCCAGGTATGACCAGAGGTGTGTGACTGATGCAGGGAAACGCAGACTTCAATATGTGATAAACAATACAATTTATTAACACTAACCATACAAACATAAACGCAGTGCAATACTAAATAATACTGTGCAAACAAACCAAACCAAACCACCCACAGATAACAGTACATACAAAGCAAGCGTCGTCAGGCAGGCCGGGTCAATATCAATTGGGCAGGTAGGTACAGGGGAGCAAGCAGAGAATGGTCGGGGTAGTAGTAGCGAGCAGCGTAGTACAGAGGGTCAGGCAGAGGGATGGTCAGGGTCACAAAGCCAGAGATCAAAACAGGTAACAAGCAGCGTAGTACAGAGGGTCAGGCAGAGGGACAGAAACAGGATGCAGGACAGATACAGGGCCCAGGACAAACACAACACCAAGGCAGAGTCTGTGGGTCTGGCCATCCCTTAAATACCCCAGCATCATCAGTTCCAGGTGTTAGCTGGCTGAAAGGTTGAGTCTCTGATTGCTGGGAGCACCCGCTGGCCAGCCCTGGTACTGCAGATCAAAAGGCAGGTGGTCCCACCATTGCTGGCCAGTCCATTCCTAAACAAACTGAAAATAGTTGACGCTCACAAAGCTGGAGAAGGCTATAAGAAGATAGAAGCGTTTTCAGATGTCAATATCCTCTGTTTGGAATGTAATTAAGAAATGGCAGTCATCAGGAACAGTGGAAGTTAAAGCAAGATCTGGAAGACCAAGAAAAATATCAGACAGAACAGCTAGCAGGATTGTGAGAAAAACAATTCAAAACCCACGTTTGACTGCACGATCCCTCCAGAAAGATCTGGCAGACACTGGAGTTGTGGTACACTATTCCACTATAAAGAGATACTTGTACAAATATGGTCTTCATGGAAGAGTCATCAGAAAAAAATCTCTTCTACGTCCTCACCACAAAAATCATCGTTTGAACTTTGCAAATGAACATATAGACAAGCCTGATGCATTTTTAAAACCAGTTCTGCGGACCGATGAGGTTAAAATTGAACTTTTTGGCCGGAATGAGCAAAGGTACGTTTGGAGAAGAAGGGGCACAGGATTTAATGAAAAGAACCTCTGTCCAACTGTTAAGCATGGGGTTGGATCAATCATGCTTTGGGGTTGTGTTGCAGCCAGTGGCACAGGGAACATCTCACGAGTAGAAGGAAAAATGGACTCAATAAAATTTCAGCAAATTTTGGATGGTAACTTGATGCCATCTGTGAAAAAGCTGAAGTTAAAGAGAGGATGGCTTCTACAAATGGATAATGATCCTAAACACACCTCAAAGTCCACGGGGGATTACATCAAGAGGCGTAAACTGAAGGTTTTGCCATGGCCTTCACAATCTCCTGACCTCAACATAATTGAAAATCTATGGATAGACCTTAAAAGAGCAGTGCATGACAGACAGCCCAGAAATCTCAAAGAACTGGAAGACTTTTGTAAGGAAGAATGGGCAAAGATACCTCAAACAAGAATTGAAAGACTCTTGGCTGGCTACAAAAAGCGTTTACAAGCTGATACTTGCCAAAGGGGGCAGTACAAGATATTAACTCTGCAGGGTGCCCAAACTTTTGCAGGCGCCATTTTTTTGTTTTCTGTTATTTTGAAAGTGTAAATGATGGAAATAAAATCTAACTTTTGTTGACATATTATAAGAATGTCTAATCTGTAATTTGATGCCTTTTAGAGATTTTTCCATCTTTCCTTGGCTTCTTTATGCACATTAATACAAATTTTTAGCTGGGGTGCCCAAACTTTCGATCCCCACTGTATATGTCAGAAGAAGAATTTGTCATATTAGGAAAGTATGGCAGTTGTTGCGTTTATATTTTAAGGCCAGAGACGTGTAGATGGTCAGCACCAGCCATTTTCATGTCCAGGATGTAAAGTGGTAGGCAATTTATATATCTCATGCCAGGGAAGCATAAATGGTCAGTACTTAGCACTTTCATGCCAAGGATACATAGCGGTCAGTATACTTTTAGTTTTCTCCTGTATGAAGCCAAAATCCTAGCTCACCAGTCTTGTGTAGGAGTTTGTGTTTGTTTTATTTTCAGTTTTGAATAGCATCTGCACATCATGCAGTGCCTTACATAACTGCATATAGAAATGATATTTGGAGCCAGCACATGCTAACTAGCCTTCATTGTATTTGACTGTGGTGTGTTTTTAGTGCCTTTGTTTAATCCGTTCTGCTTTATGTTCCCCTTTTCATAGGTGTAGGAGATTTCAGTGTCTGGGAGTTTTCTGGAAACCCTACCTATTACTGTAGCTATGACTATTTTGCTGCCAATGACCCCACATCAATTCATGTGGTTGTTTTCAGCCTTGAAGAGCCATATGAGATCCAGTTAAATCAGGTTATATTCTGGCTAAATTTTCTAAAGTCCCTTGTGCCCATGGAGGAGCCCATAGGTATGTCACTGTGATTTTTTTTTTTTTTAAAGAATAAACCGTCTGTGCTGCAATACATTTGGTGGACATAGCTGTCCGTTTTCCAGGATATGTTCACGTAGCATTGATATTACCCGTTCACATTAACTTGTAGCTGTAATTCTTCAGAGGTAGTTATCCTGGTCCAGATTTTGGGGAAGGTCACTTAGGTTGGCCATACCCTGGTAGAATTTTGTTTGAAAAGTATCAATTTAAGAACAATCATCTGCTCTTCTAATAAAAGAAAATTCAAAGGAGGATGGAAACTGTTTCTCAAATTTCTAACCTTGAACGTGATTTTCATTTGGAAAGTCCATTGACTCCAAAATCAGATATTAAAAACAAATTATTTTTTGCACAAAATTTGTCATGTCATCGAATGTAATAACTTTGGGTCAATCCCTAGAGCAACAGGCCCAGATATCCAGGTAGTCAATCTGTCTGGAGGCTCTCTTTGCAATGTACGAAAAACACTCCTTTGGGTGGAAAGATTCCAAACAGTACCCTACATTGTGAACAAGCTGACTTTAGTCAGTCTTACTTTCTGAATCCTATGTGCATTTATTATTATACCAGATGACTTTTATATTAAATACTGTTTATGACCTTGCATGTTAATAAATACTGCTGTGTTAGACTGTTTTTTTTCCCTCTAGTCACCACATGAGGTCACTAAACATGAGCACTTTAAGCACTAATCCTGATTTTCCGCACCATCGGATCACTTTCTCAGCTTATGTTTTCTAAGTGTAATCAAATTCACTGAGCTGGCTTAGCAGGGTATATCCAATAAACCACTGCTCAAGGAGATGTTTTCGGTTACTTTCCTGGGGAACTATTTCACACTTTAAAAACTGAGCATTGCAACATAAATGGGATGTTTCATTTATTAACAGGAAGCGTGTTCATCTACATGAGATATTTAAGCAATCATAAAGTATTTAACTGGCTTTTAGGTCAAACATAAACTATCTTGCACTGGATTTGCTTGATAAAGGTTACATGCCTGGTATCTGTTACATGATTAAGAGCTGTGGACCCCAGTTAGGAAGTGTATGAGCCATTAAGGACAATCCGAGAAATTCTACCAGGAAGACTTTTAGCAGCTGGAATAATAGTATAGTTTAAGTGATATTAAAGCCACTTTAAAAACTTGTTGTCACACCCTATTGGTGTTTTCTGTAATAAATGCTTCAACCTGCCTGCCAGCTGTAGTGTACACTGAGCCACTTATGTGCAGCTCAGTGTATACTTATGGCACCCACAGTGTGCTGTGGTAATTTGACTGCCATGTGCATGTGTGGAAGTGACCTCATTGCAGCTTGGCCATTCAGGCAACTGAGCATACAGAACCCAGATAGAAGACCAAGCAAAGATGGAAGCGCCGGGGACCCGTGGGATCAGTAACAGCGCAGTGCTGGAGGGAACATTATAACAGATATGTCATAATGTGCTGATAAAAAAAAGACTTTAACACCTTCCCACCACTGGCTCCTGGCCCTTTAAGAGGATCTAAATGCCAGGAGGTGGGCATTCTCATCATGTAACCGCTGTGATTGGCTGTCACAGAGGACACATGATCACAAAGCTCTTGATCGCAAATATACATCAGGAGTTTTCTGGTACATGTTCGTTACCATGCTGGGTGTGGGCTCTCAGCACAGTAAAGTATTTACATAGGGTCACATATATTCGGCTGCTCGGCGTTAACGCCCACCTTCCACCATATATGCATACAGCCGGCTGAAAAATGTTAATACTGCTTTAAAGCCAAAACTGTTTGCTTTTTTTTTTAATTTTGGATAGAGTGGATAGTTATTAGAGCACCTTTATTTTTTAATTCTGTCTGTGTTCCTGTTGATTTTCTCTGTTTGTCTTGAAAAAAACAGAAATATAGGGGAAATCTTCCAGTGGGGACACGAGACCCAAGTAACAACCAGTTTGTCTTAATTTCTGTTTAAGTTATTAAAGGATAAGTTCACCTTTTGGACAAAAATAATAAATGCACATTTTTTTGCAGGTAAAAATGTGCATTTATTATTTTTGTCTCCAGGAGCCTGGAAGGCATTGCACCAGTGATCAGTAGATCGCTGATGTCATGCAGGTCTCCTGCAGAACTGTCAGAATATCTGCTTGCCTAACGGGATGTACGAGCAAGCAGATATTCTGAGAGGAAGCTTCAGTGAACTACCACGGTGCTCCACTGCACCGTGGTAGTTCATTGAAAACTACAAGCTGACAGCCATTAAAGGCTATCGGGATTTGCAGTTCATTCATTCACGGAAGTCTGTGAATTAATGATGTGTCTGTGTGGGCGGAGCCCCACACGGCCACACTGTTTTCAAATTTGACAGATAGCATGGGGAGACTTCTCCCTGTACTCTGTCAGAGAGAGGGAGGTGGCAGGCGATGGCTGCGGCTATGGGAACATGTTACATGTAACGTGAACTTATCCTTTAATCGATCTGAAAAATGCAATATTTTAGTGCATGCTGGGTGACAGAAATCTGCAGTAGAGTGTGTTCTTTTCTAATGACCACTGTCAGATATTTACAATCAGTTTGTTTGTTATTAAAGTGGAACTTTATGTAAATAATAAAAATAGGCGGACAGGTTGGATTTATACTGCAGAAGACATGAGACATGCATTGTCTCTTCTGCATTAGACTTAACAACCTGCCTGTCCACCTCTGTACAGTGAGCTGTGCACCGCAGCTCACTGTAGAGATTCGGAAATGCCGAACCCATGTGTCAGAGTGATGTCATATTGGCCTGGCCAATGAAAGTGGCTGGTACTCGATACTTGAAAGCTGTCCACTTAAAGATGTTAATGGCTGGCAAGGAGCTCTAGGATATCGCATTTCTGTAACCAAGGTGGGTATAGTTCTGCTTTAATTGCAATAAAAAAAAAAAGTTTTGAAGCTATCAGCATTTTTTACTTGTACCCTTCCTGCAATATTAGTATCCAAAGGTCAAGGCTTGATTTCCATCACTGGAACCTCTAGGTGCCAACAACCTATTAGTTCACCTCCTCTACAGAGAACAGCTTCTTGTGTTGCTGTTTATGACATGGCTTGGAATTTTGAGAGGATCCCCTAACAAATGCATATGAAATAATGCTTTGTATTCAAATTGCTGCTAGAAAAAAATGACATAGAATGATAACTGAGAAGGGGAAAGCCACCTCTTTGCATAATGATAAATGCAGCCTTGTCAGAGGTGTGTATTTACCACTGGACTACTGATATGGCAAATCATTCATCGAAAGCCCAGAAAAGATTGTTGGAGTAATGTTCAATTTGTCTTCTTTCCTTGTGAGAATAATAAGGTTCGTGCCCAAGTGAAATGCATTGTAAAAATGATATTTACGCATGTACTTGATATTTGACCTTGAAATAGGTATACACACATTCTGATCGGCACAATGCAGAAATACTGACTTGAGACGGCCTGTGGTTTGTATAGGCTGATGGTTGTTTTCTGTTAATATGACAGCTTATGGAGGAAAACTGAAGAATCTGTTGCGAGTGGTGTTAGTTGCCACCCACGCAGACATTGTCAACCTCCCACGTCCGGCAGGTGGAGAATTTGGATATGACAAAGAGATATCACTGCTGAAAGAAGTTAGGAACAGGTAATTATGGAGATTTTATAAACTGCTTATGCTGCAGACAATAAGGCCATTCTTCTAATTGCTAAATAAACACATTGGAAAGTACATATTTTTTACTTCCACCTACATTTTCTTTTGAAATTGGTTACAAGAAATTGTATTTATCTGAATTCCTAGGTTTGGCAATGACCTCCAGATTTCTGACAAGCTGTTTGTGTTGGATGCTGGGGCATCTGGTTCCAAGGACATGAAGCTTCTGCGCAATCACCTACAGGAACTAAGAAGCCAGCTGATTTCTGTAAGTGAAATGTTTACCTGCAACACACTGATTTCATTAGGGGAAAAATAGGAGATCTAATGTAATGTAAGGATACGTAGTTTGTTTTGGCACTAATGAATCCTAAGGATGCCTTATTATTGTGGGTTTAGGAGTATCCCATTTCCTGCCTTCTCCATGCCTGTAGCCAAGAGAATTGTGCTTTTTTACATTAGCCAATTCAGAATCTGTCATGTTTCAGAAGAGGGAAGACACTGTACCATGTACCAGTTACAGGTTCATAGCATTATATAAAACTGGAGGGTGCAAAATCTGGTGCAGTTCTGTATAGAAACCAATCGGCTTCCAGGCGTTTTGTCTAAGCTTAAAGGATAAGTTCACCTTTGGAAACATGTTACATGTGCCTCCAGATTTTAGGGTGGAACATGTACCATGTTCCCACTCCTGCAGCCACTGCCCAATCTGCTGACAGCAGGTTGGGGATCTTCTCGTACCTGCTGTGTCACTATTTGAAAAGTGTGGCTCTGCCCACCCAGCCACATCATTCACAGAGTTCTGTGAATGGGAGAACTACAAGTACCACCTGCCTTTGCAGCTGTCAGCTTGTAGTTCTTAATGAACTACCACAGTGCTGTTGAGGTAGTTCAATGGTGCTTCCTCTCATTATGTAACTGCCTGCTCATAGGAGGTATGACCAGACAGCTTACACTGACAGTCTGTAATAGCCCTGCATTGCACTTGTGATCAGCAGACCACAGGTGCAATGTTTACATGCTCCTAATAAAAAAAAAAAGTAATAACTATACATTTTTTTTTCTGTGAAAAGATGTGCATTTATTTTTTTTTTTTTCAAGGTGAACTTATTCTTTAATTGAACAAGCTGAAGTTAGAAGCTGATTGGCTACCATGCACAGCTGCACCAGATTTTGCAATATCCAGATTTAGTAAATCAACCCCATTGTGTTGGTGTTTTCTTGGAAACAATGTTGGCAACCAGATGTTAACATTTGCAGTGTATTTAACTCAGATGGGGTTAAGGAAGGCAATGTTGTCATTATATACACCGTATAAGCATGTGTTGTTGTCTTTTTTTGTTATGATTATAAATCACTATGCTTTAGTGTCAGGATATGCCACTAAAGATTTTCATGATGCTCAGTGTACAGGGTGAGAAATATCATGCTTGTGTATAATGTATCTGGTATAATCTTTTTGTTGCTGTAATGTTACTCGTGCATCTTGCACCCCCTGCTGGCCACATTGCTCAATTACTGAACTCTGTTTTGTTTTTCAACTTGACTAGCAGCTAAGCACGTTTTGCAGATCAGCCTTTTGTGCTTGTTTTTATTTTTTACTGGAAGGCATGAGATCCATTGACAATGAGGGGGCCAGAATTGATATGAGATGGAACTATTGACAAAAATAAAAAAATTAAAGGATGCAGACTGTCAATAGCATTTGCTTTTTCTGGTGAACACACCCCATAAAAGTTCTGTTGCATGTTGATGAATCCAGCAGATCTGCTATTTTTCCCAATTTTTGTATTAGAGGAACAAAGCTGTTACTTCTGCAGTTAGGTCCCACTTGCACAGCAGCGTTATCATCCTGTGGGACAGAGTAGGTTTGGATAAACTAAGGGAATCATTTAGAGGCAAACATTAAAGCTTAATTCCAGCGAACACATTGTAAGCAGTTACAACAACCGTTTTTTTTACTTTCAGAAAAAGTTTAAAACTGTGAGTATAAGTTGACTGTTGTAAGGTTATATGGTTTATTCCTACCTCTCTAACTGCTATTTTTGCAGGATAGCTCACCAGTATCTGCTGTCACTTGTAAACAAAGAAGCCCAGCTTGTGTGTCAGCAAGGGACAGCACAGCTCTCCACAGCATGATTCCCCTCTCTGCACTCAGGACAGGACAAGAGTTCCTGGGAGCAGAATGTTTATGGGTGGGAGGGGAGCAGGGTGCAATCCTGGTGCCTGGATGCCACTGCAGCCTTCTTGATGGCAAATGGGGGGGGGGGGACACACAAAAATGAATGTGTGTACTGTGTGGGAGAACTCATCTGCCTTAAAGACGTAGCCATTAGTGGTGCTAGAGAGGGGCTGGCTGCTGACAGTTTTTTGTTTTCTTTGGGGGGGGGAGGGTGCAAAGGTGGGGGTGCAGATGTCAGTGCCAAGAAAGGGGTGCAGGAGTAAGGTGTGGATGGGGGATGTAGAGGTCCGTACCTCTAAATCCTCCATTCACACCTTACTTCTGCATCCCCTTCTTAGCTCAGATGTCAGCTGCTTTGAAGGATGGAGGGGAGGTAGTGTTGCAGAGAAAAGCTATAGACAAGGATTAGCTGTGATGGATTATGTGATGGTGAGTGCAGAGATGGGTTGCAGGCGGGAGATACAGAGGTTAGGCGGTGTAGAGGTGAACGGTGTAAGTGGGGGAAAGTGTACAGGGGTGAGCCATTGAAGGAGGGAAGTGTGTGGAGGTCAGCTGTCAACAGAAGGTGCAGAGGTGGATTTCAGATGAGTGTGGGGTGTAACAGAGGTGTGTTGCAGACAGGGAGTTGGAGGGGGGGCAGAGGTGAGTTGTGGACAGGGAGGGAGGGGTGTTGAGCTGAGCTCAGACAGTTGTGGACTCAGGTGCAGAGGTGAGTTATGAGTGGGAAGTGAGCTGCAAACAGGAGTTCATAGGTGAGCTTTGGATGGGGGTTCAGTAAATTGTGGACAGTGGGCTGCAAAGATGAACTGTAGATGGAAGAAAAACAAAAACTTTGCTTTTGCACTTGACAGACTGCATCATATTTTGCCTCATGCACACGGGCGGTTTCAGAATCAGCAAAAAATGCTGGTGTATTTCCATGTCTGGGAGAGACCGCTGCATAGAACTACATACAGCCATATATGACCATGGGTGGCAGAACTCCGCAGGCATCTCTCCCAGGCGTGTAATGATGCCCGCAATTTATGCCTTAAACCACTCAGCTGCATGAGGCCAATTTTATATTATTATTACTTTTAAAGTAAGTATTTTCAGGTCCTCTGTGTAATAAAATAATACAATTTCAGTTCTGCATGTGCTGCGTTTTAGCCCATGTGTACAGAAGTTTATCCTAAATTTGTGCCTACTCACACAGCAAAGGAAGTACTTGTGGATATCTAAACTTTTTTTTTTTTTTGTAGGATTGCCCTTCAATGACACCCTTATGTGAAAAGGTTCTCTCAACTCTTCCACCCTGGAGAAAGCAAAATGGACCCAACCAGTTACTTTCATTCCAACAGTTTGTTTATGATGTGCAAGAACAGTTGAATCCACTGGCAACTGAAGATGATGTCCGGAATCTAGCCCAACAGCTGCACAGCATGGGAGAAGTAAGTTGTTTCTCCTCCCAAATGACAGATTATCAGTACTACACTCCTAGTATTTAGGATTGCATGCTTAGCAGTAAAACAATATGTGTGCACAAACAAAAAAGGATATTGCCTCTCATTACCTACAGTTGTGTTCAAAATAATAGCAGTCAGACATCACTAACCTGATCAATCATTGTTTTTGGTAGAAATGATATTTCTACATGGCAAATAATTTACTAGCAGGTGTAGTAGAGTAATAGAAATCCAACAGACCCAACAGTCATGACATGCATGCTGCTGATTCTGTGTAATTGAATCACTAATTGAAAGTGGCATGTTCAAAATAATAGCAGTGTGGAGTTCTATTAGTGAGGTCATTCATTCTTTGAAAAATAGGTGGCAATTATTGCCCTTATTTAAGGAAGGAAGGCAGCAAATGTTGTATATGCTGGTTACAGTGCATTTCTCTCTGAAATTCTGAGGAAAATGGGTCGTTCCAGACATTGTTCAGAAGAACAGCGTACCTTGATTAAAAAGTTGAATGGAGAGGGGAAAACATATAAAGAAGTGCAGAAAATGATAGGCTGCTCAGCTAAAATGATCGCAAATACTTTAAAATGACAACCAAAACCTGAAAGACGTGGAAGAAAGCGAAAAACTACCATTCGAATGGATAGAAGAATAGCCAAAATGGCAAGGACTCGGCCAACAATCAGCTCCAGGAAGATCAAAGAAGGTCTAAAGTTACCTGGGAGTACTGTTACAATTAGAAGACGCCTATGTGAAGCCAAGCTATCTGCAAGAAGCCCCGCAAAGTCCCACTGTTGAAAAAAAGACATGTGCTGAAGAGGTTACAATTTGCCAAAGAGCACATTGACTGGCCTAAAGAGAAATGGGGAAACATTTTGTGGACTGATGAAAGTAAGATTGTTCTTTTTGGGTCTAGTGGCCGGAGACAGTTTGTCAGACGACCCCCAAACACTGAATTCAAGCCACAGTACACTGTGAAGACAGTGAAGCATGGTTGCACAAGCATCATGATATGGGGATGTTTCTCATACTACGGTGTTGGGCCTATTTATCGCATACCAGGGATCATGGATCAGTTTGAATACATCAGAATACTTGAAGAGGTCATGCTGCCTTATGCTGAAGAGGAAATGCCCTTGAAATGGGTGTTCCAACAAGACAACGACCCCAAACACACCAGTAAATGTGCAACATCTTGGTTCCAGACCAACAAGATTGACATTATGGAGTGGCCAGCCCAATCCCCGTATCTTAATCCAATAGAAAACTTGTGGGGTGACATCAAAAATGCAGTTTCTCAGGCAAAACCAAGAAATAGAGAAGAACTGTGGAATGTAGTCCAATCATCCTGGGCTGGAATACCTGTTCACAGGTGCCAGAAGTTGGTTGACTCCATGCAACACAGATGTACAGCAGTTCTCAGAAACAGTGCTTATACAACTAAATATTAATTAAGTGATTCAAAGGAAAGCAAAATCTTCAAACATTTTTCAGTTTATATAGTGAATGTTTGAGTTTGTAAAGAAGAATACAAACACTGCTATTTTTTTTTGAACTAATATTCACTTTTCTTCCAATTTTTTTTAGAGGAACACAAAGTTGATAGATTTTTCTTCATGTTTTGATTTGGAATAGAATGTCTAGTGTTCCCAATGCATTTGTGTGTATGGAAATAAAAGCTATTAGAAGGATTTTGAGCTTTATTCACTTTTTTCAACACACTGCTATTATTTTGAACACAACTGTATGTATTTACATAGGAGTAATTTAAAGCAGAGTTCCACCCAAAAGTGGAAGCTCCGCTTTTCTGCCTCCTCCCCCCCTTCACTGCCACATTTGGCACCTTTTGAGGAGGGAGGGGGGGAGCAGGTACCTGGTTTTAACAGGTACCTGCTCCCACTTCTGGATCAGTTCACCGCGGTGAACTGAGATGAAAGTTCAGCACCCCCTGCAGCCCTCTGGGACACTTCCAAGGTCCCAGAGGACTGAAGCCCATTCACAAAGCGCAGCACGCTTTGCTCATGCACAGTAGGAAACTTAGTCAAGATGACGGCACCAGCACCCGACAGCCAAAGAATTTGCTCGGAGTGAGGACACCGCTGGATGCATTGACAGGTAAGTGCACTACTATTTAAAGTCAGCAGCCACAGTATTTGTAGGTTCTGACTTTTTAATTGCTTTTTTTTTTTTTGGGGGGGGGGGGTGACTCTGCTTTAAGAAACAAAATAAATACTTACTGTTAATGTTTGTTTATACACAGATAAACATCATGCAAAGTGATACCGTCCAAGATGTTGTGCTTTTAGATCCAAGATGGCTGTGTTCCAATGTTCTTGGAAAGCTGCTCTCTGTGGAGAACCCAAAAGCCCTTCACCACTATAGAGGAAGGTATACCATGGAGGATATCCAACGACTGGTTTCAGACAGTGATGTGGATGAACTTATACAAATTTTAGATGCCATGGATATTTGTGCACGAGACTTGAGCAGTGGGACCATGGTAGATATCCCCGCCCTTATAAAAACAGACAGCCTGCACAGGTCGTGGACTGATGAAGAAGAGGACATCTTAATATATGGAGGTGTTAGAATTGTTCCTGTGGAACACCTTACTCCTTTCCCCTGTGGGATTTTCCATAAAGTCCAAGTCAACCTTTGCAGGTGGATACACCAGCAGAGCACTGAAGGTGATGCCGACATACGTCTGTGGGTAAACGGGTGTAAACTGGCAAACAGAGGGGCTGAAGTTTTGGTGTTGCTGGTCAACAATGGTCAAGGAATTGAAGTGCATGTGCGAGGACTAGAAACTGAGAAGATAAAGTGTTGTTTACTCCAAGAATCTATTTGCAGTATCATTGATAACTTATTTGCAGCAACCTTGCCAGGACTTTTAACTGTAAAATATTACTTAAGCCCACAGCAGCTAAGAGAACACCATGAACCAGTAATGGTTTACCAGCCAAGAGACTTTTTCCGAGCCCAGGCTCAAAAGGACACTTCACTGGCAAATACAATGGCTGGGTACAAAGAAAGTTTTAGCAGCATATTGTGCTTTGGATGCCTGGAAATTTACTCTCAAGGAAACCTAGGCATGGATCATCATGTGTCTGATCTGAACATTCTTGTAAGAAGGAAACTCAGTCGACTTCTTGATGCGCCAGATCCTATGGGCAAGGACTGGTGTCTTCTAGCCATGAATTTGGGCCTTCCAGATCTAGTTGCCAAATATAATGCCAGCAATGCGACACAAAAAGATTTTACAGAGAGTCCTGTCTGCGCTCTTTTACAAGAATGGGGGAATGCTCCTGATAGCACTGTAGCGATATTAATGTCAAAACTGAGAGAACTGGGGAGGCGGGATGCGGCAGATTTTCTCCTGAAATCATCCTCCGTGTTTAGAGTGAATTTGGATGTGCATGGACAGGAAGCCTATGCCGCTAGCTGTAACAGTGGCACATCTTACAATTCTATTAGTTCAGTAGTGTCACGATGACTGACTGTTTAATTATGAACTTATCTCTACTCTACCAGTGTAACACATTTAGTTCTTATATTGCTGTATTACAAGGGTATGAGTTTGAAGTCATTAATTTATAAGCATTCCATTGATGAATGTTACATGCCCTATAAACCTTGTACTTTGTGATCTTTCTACTTTTAATAAGAATTGTTGCCTTTTATCATAGATTTTTAAAGGCCTATACTTTGAATTTTTTCAGTCCTGACTTCTATAGAATGTGCTGCTAAATACTGCCACCTGGATGGATAAAAGCTGTTCCTTTTATTGTATATATTGTTATTTTTTATCACATTAATGATGGAGGTGCACAGTTATTCATTTATACAAGGCTTACACTTTCCATCTCTATAATTTGCTGATGTATTTCAGAAAATATACCCAAAATGTAGTATTCTGCTGTCCTATTAGACCTAAAGGTGTTCTGGAATTGTTAGAAACAGTAATCACAGTAATGTGAGTGCCTTGCTGGAGAGGGTTCAGGAGCATACTGTTTGGGTTCTGGACCTTGGAATGATGCCATGTGGGTTGTGAGGTGTTGGTGTGTTCACTCTGCACCTTTCACAACTCCACCTATACTTAATAATGGGCATACACTTGCTTTTCCTGGTTACGGGGAGCCTTTTGATGACCTTGGCTCAGAAAGCGGATTATAAGTCCGCTGCCTGAGCTTAGGAACAGCTGGATGAAACCTGTAATTCCCCACCATAGGTGCAAAGGTGACCTAAGAATAGTTGCCACCACTGCAACTCCATTAGTTTGCCTGTATTAGGGTGTAGGTAAATGGTGCCCTAAGGTTTTTTTTTTTTTGTTTTTGTTTTTTTTTTTTGCATCATGCTGTCTACCTCTTCATGACTGTCTGCATGATAATCATAAGAAACCAACTTTTAGTTTAACACACAACTAGTAATACACAAAGTACTAATGTAGAACATTTTACTTTTCCAATGCAGTCTAAAATATGACTGTGTGGCTCAGGTACACTAATGATTTTATCATTTATAAACATCTCTGAACTTGCATGTCTAAGTATTAGAGGCTTTGTCCACTTGGCAAATTCAGTGATTGATAGACGTTCAACAAAGCTTTATTTTCTTGTTTGCTGTAAGGTCATTTGCATTATGGGCATTTCCAATTAATGTGAAATCTCACTGACGTCATCTCAGGTATAGGTTCTTACAGTCACTCCATTCATTATGTAAGACTTGTATCAAACAAACACCCACTGCAATATTTTTCTGTTAGGTATTTCAGGCATCTTTTTTATTAATTATCAACAAGGGCGTGTTCATAGATTTTCTGTACTTGAAACAAACATGGATTTTATCACTAGGATTTTAACTTGCTGCCAATACTTATTGGGAATCTGTTTCATTTGTGTGCTTCCTCTTGAAGATGCATGCTATGAAATGTGTATATACAGGAATGACATTTACATTTTTAATCTTTGGTTTGTAGAACAATTTTAAAACTTGTTTTTGTATATGTACATATCTATGAATAAACATGTTGCCTGTTGAAAATATTACATTTGTTTAATGCTTGGAGCCCAAATGTATTCCATGGGATAGATTTGCATTCTATGCTAAACGATAAAAAAATTAAAAAGCAAACACTGGTTTTCTAAAAAAAAATATATCAAGCATACACTCACCGGCAACTTTATTAAGTACACCTTACTAGTACCGAATTGGACCCCCTTTTCCCTTAATTCTTTGTGGCATAAATTCAACAAGGTGTTGGAAACATTCCTCAGAGATTTTGGTCCATATTGACATGAATTACTGTTGCTTTTCTATCATCTCAAACCAATCTGCCCATTCTCCTCTGACCTCAACAAAGCATTTTTGTCCACACAACTGTCACTCACTGGATATTTTCTCTTTTTCAGACCATTCTCTTCAAACTCTAGAGATGGTTGTGTGTGCAAATCCCAGTAGATCAGCAGTTTTTGAAATACTCAGACCAGCCTGTCTGGTACAAACAACCATGCCATATTCAAAATCACTTAAATTCCCTTTCTCCCCCATTTTGATGCTCGGTTTGAACTTCCAGCAAGTAGTCTTCACCACATCTAGATGTCTAAATGCATTGAGCTGCTGCCATGTGATTTGGCTGATTAGCAATTTGTGTTACCAAGCAATTGAACAGGCGTACCTAATGATGTGTGGTGAGTGTATGTGGAGAATCTTACAGCCTCTGAGTCTCTGTTCATTTCTCACAGGTGCGATGGAGAGTGCACAATTTTCAGCAGTGAGAACACAATAGCACAGTGGGAAAGATTCTTCTATCCACCTCAAGTGTGTGGATGGGGAAATCGGATCACTTTTTAGGCATTTTTGCGTGTTGTGTTTAGGGCAGCCCCTTGGTGCCTGACCCATTTTAAAAATTATGCAGCACCAAAATGCATGGTACCATGTGTTTTGGCATGTGTGTTAGCAAGATGTGTATGGATGCCATTAAGAATTAATAGAACTTCTGCAAATCTGAAAAAAGGCAGCAGGTTTATAAGCTATGGGGAAAAAGGCACATTTTTTGCACCTTACCTCACAATGCACAGGTTTGAGCAAAGCTATAAACACAATGTGGAAAAATTCAGACGTATTTGGTTTTATTGGCTAGAATTTATCTGTTCCCCAGAATACAAAGCTATCCTCCTCAAGCAGTCAAGCTCTTAAACCACACCTTCCTCCTCACCCTCCTACCCCTTGGACTGAACGTGAATCGACTCAGCACCCCCTTCATCACTTTCTCCCTGCCACTACCTTACCTCCCTCACTCCAGTCCCCTTACCGCTAATATTTCTCTATTATCTCTTTAATCCCTCTTGACTTCCCTCAGGTTTTTCTGTTCCACATCCCTTGACCCACTTTTTTTTTTCTTGCTCATTTGAACCTATTACAATTCTTCTGGAAAAGTATGGGAGGACTGGGATGTGGGACCACTTATTACTTGGATGTCTTAAGTTGGCCATACAAGGTTCTGTTTTTTTGTAGAGCCAGCAGGCTGAGCACAAAAAAAAAAAAACTGAACCAGTTCCCTCATCTACACAAGTGAGATGAATGGGGTAATCCTCCCTGTAGGGCTGTTGTATACTGACAGAGGGGAGACTTCTCTGCTGTCAGAATATACAGATCAGTGCTGTAGCCACAGATCAAGTGGCTTTTTTCCCCAACAGTTCAGTTCAGCAGACGTTGATCAATAGATCGACTTCTGTTGAGCAGCAGTGCCCACACATGGATCAAAATTTGGCTGCTCCCTGCTGATCCGGCAGAATTTTGATTCCTCTATGGTCAGCTTTATTCGGTATCAGGGGCGGACTGACAACTCATGGGGCCCCCGGGCAATAGGGGATCATGGGGCCCGTGTCCTTGCCCAAACTCAAAAAAGCCTATGAAAAAGGTTCCAGGGGCATCTCATGGGGCCCCCTACTGACCCCGGACCCTCGGGCAGTGCCCAAGTTTGCAAATGGTCAGTCTGCCCCTGGTCGGTATGTATTTTTCATTTTAGTTAAGACAACTTATGTTGTTCTACTGACTTTTGTAATGTATGTTGTATACATGAGACATTTATTGGTATGTTGTGACCACACCTACAGTTTGTCTTTTAGTAAAACATTTAGAATAGAGAAAAAAAAAAAAAAGCAAAATCCTGGCCAGTAGAACAGGGAGATCAAATGATTTTCTGTATTTGTAAAACTGTGCATAATGTCTTTACTATATAAAGTAAATAGAACCACAAAGATGGGGAGAATGTCTATACCACACACTACACATAAACACTTATATTGCATTATTATAAGGTAAAACAGCAGCCACAAGCATGTTAAAATATGACTCCTGACTGGCACAAGACTGCTTTAATCCTTATAGCCATGGTGAATCTGAGACATACTGTATAAACACATATTTTCACTGAATGTGATTTAAAAAAAAAAAAAAGCATCCCTGATATCTAGAGTACAAAACGCACATTTGTGACCACTTTCTTCTTTTCGAACACTGGAGTAAAGTCCATATAAATTGGACACCACCATGCAAATGTGCATCGGATCCACAATCCATAGAGACTCAAAGCAAGTTTTGCTCCCTGATGCACCAACTGTTTGGCCACTCATAATGCTGAAAATTAAATTTTAGATATGTTCTTTTTGTAAGTAGTTAAAGAATATATTTTTCTCTCAACACTGAACTTCCAACAACCAAAAAGAGCAGTTTCATAGCAGCTGTCTTAGGCTTCATGCACACTGGGCAAAAAGTGCTGCTTATACATGCTTTTGATGTTTTTTTTTCTTCAGCTTGTTAATCTATTATTATTATACAGTATTTATATAGCGCCGACAGTTTGCTCAGCGCTGTACATTATAATAGGAGACAATACATGAGACAGTGCAATAACAATACAATGCGATACACGAGGGGTTCAAGGGCCCTGCTCCTTGGAGCTTACAATCTAGGAGGGAGGGGATAGTGGTACGGGAGGAATAGATGGAGGATGGAGTCGTAGGAAGAGTGGAGGAGATCTGCAATTAGCAGAGGGCAGGGTAGGCTTCCCTGAAGAGGTGGGTTTTCAGGGTGCGCTAAAGGAGAGGAGAGTAGGTGATAGTCTGATGGATTGGGGTAGGGAGTTCCAGAGGATGGGAGAAGTCCTGGAGGCGGGCATGGGAGGAGGTGACCAGGGAACTAGAGAGTAGTAGTGTCGCAAACGTGCGTCCCAGAGAATGACGGAGTCTGCCATTTTGTTAAGAGTAGCCATGTTATTCCCTCATTCTCCTTCCCCCTCCCTTCCTGAGGGGCACAGTGACAGATGTGTGTGTGTGTACTGTTTATGGGTCACTGGCAGGTCAAGGCATCTCTAGCTAGGTGCTGAGCTGTCTCTGAAAGCTGTATCCTTTTGCACCTAGGAAGAGATAGCACCAGCTTTCCCAAAAGAGCTGGAGTCTCACTGGCCAAAGTACCTGTGTAATTTCACACCTC